CACGAACCAGATTCAGGGTCAAAGGTCCGCAACGGTTAATCCTGCTTGCGTAACTGGAAACGGCGCGCCCAAATCGGTGGTCGCATCGCGTACTGTCGTCGCGACGCCGATCGGCAACTCCTCGCCGTCCCGCAATCGCACGAGTGGACCGCCGAGCGCAAACAACTCCATGCACCAGGTATATCCGACGGCCGAGAGCATGCCCAATCACACTGAGAGCGGTCCCAATGCGCCGCTCCTGTTACCTGCTGGCGCGGTCCCCAGAGTCTAGTTCCCCTAAGATGATTCTTTCCCGGCGATGCTTCGCTTGCCAGCTATCGAGCCTGCGAAGGCTCGCGATCGTGAGGAATCTGAGCTCGGATTCGTTGGTGAGAAAACAAAATATGATTGTGGTCAAAACTGAAGCGAGAGAGAAATGGGCGATGGGGAACGGACGTGTAAATGGAGGATTTGTTCATCATTCTGATCTACTAAAGCTTTTAAAATTCAGATTCTTCATTTCGGAAGTAATCAAAGTGATTTGTGAACATATCGTGGCATCAATTGTCTTCTATCAGATTTACGACAAAGGTGCTTCTCTTGAATTAATTAACATTAGTTTCACGACTGTTTCTTGATTTCTAGAAAGTCCACATTTTAAATTAGGATTCTAGTAATCAACTAGTGAAAGATTTGCTTTTAGTAGTACCATAAATACTGACTATGTTATTAGCATTGCGATAGATATACGTATAATTGAGGCGGGACCGATTCCATGCTGAAAGTGATCTCTTTCTACGAGGTATTATGGAACCAATTGATTAATGCAATTTTTAGAATAAATATGAGTATCGCGTGAGCAAATCGTGCGATAAGGATTAACAATGAGGATCGGATTAGACGATCCGAGCCCAAAAGAAGAAAAAGGGAAAAGACAATTAATTATAGAGATACACGACCGGCGACGTACTTTTGCCAAGGTACTTAGTCTTCTGTATATGGACACAGTATTATACCGGTCGTGCGTGTATGCATTTTATTTATTCGTACCAAAGTGAAGAACATTTACGTTTCCCGTTTACACGTGTATGTCCTCGTTACAATTCATTTGCGATGACACGTAAAATGCAATGGGCTTACAATTAGCTTAGCGGCAAGTTTTTCAAAGTTAACCGCAGCCAATACCTGATTCCCGTCGAGCCTTACACGTCAAATTAATTAAGATCCGTTCGCGAATGTAAGCGAATTTAGATTCTCTCTCTTTGCGAGGATCTTAGGATCCATTTTATCAAAAAACAATCGCGATTGACTAAATTTCGTTCTCTCTATATTATAATCGTAATTACTAAAAAGAAGAAAATAATGAAGTCAAATCGAGATTGATAATTGATCGTAAGGGATAGAACGATAAATTTTCTCAAACACATTCTGTATAGAAATATTTGCGTAAGCTTCTTCCAATATAAAGTTTTTATTAAAATATATTTTTCCTTCCAAACTTGTCTACGGAATCACAAATACATATAAGCATCACAAAAGACATAGCTCGGCCACAGTGTTTATCGTCGCATGCCCGACATGACAAATATTATCGTTCGCAACGCGTCGTGAGACGCGCGCAAACACAAAATTCTGTACCTACACGTGTAAGGATGTTATATAAATACAAAAAAGAGAAAAAAGATATATATGTATACGCAAGTACATGTATATGTTATAAGATTAGATTATATATATATATATATATATATATATATATATGTATATGGCTGCAAAAGAAAAGTTAGCTAACGTCAATGTTTAGAGCCAGTTGTTGCGAACAGAGGCTGGGCCTCTCGCGAAAGAAGTCTGTGACCTGTCTGAAAAATTAATTACCGATTGCGAGTGCATATATCTGCGAATGTCCACATTTATACACATGCGCGTATTCATACACCTATACATGCATATACAAGACAGGTATGTGCACGTGCGGTCGCAATTGCATACCCGTGTTTAATGTGTGGACGAACGATGCAGGTGGCTGATACTCCGCGGTCGCTCTGTTGTAAACGGTGGTGTGGCGGCAGGAGGGGTGTGACGCATCGTAAAGAGTGAAATTCTATCTGTGTCAATCTCTCTTTCAACGATGTACCAATGAATATTCCGAAAAATAAAGTTTAGTCGTTTTCAAGATCGCCTAACAATTACCTCGGGCGTCCGATCGAGTGATCATTATTAATGAACTCGTTTCCATGTGTCGCATCGGTGGCCAAAGCCGGAAGGATCGTTCCATCAGTGGAATGTATGTCTTACGTAAGTGCAAAAAGTTCTAAATGTATAAAAGTAGAAAAATCTTTGGCACGTGAGAACGGCTACGTGACTCTTAAAACACGGCGTTCGCAAATATCCAATCGAGGTAAGAGTTCACGCGGGTATATATCCCCGGATATCCGGGATCACCACAGCGAATTCCCCAGGATACTATCCCGATGTTGACCCACCTACCGTTGGCGAGTTGATGCAGCAACGGACCACCCGAGTCACCCTGAAAGAAGAGATGATTCGTCGGATCTGGTAATACAATTAAAGTTGGTCTGTCCTTCTCTCGTCTGTCTTACATCTCTTAAAATATTAACGGATTTCAGCCAGGAAGACGGCATTCATTAGAAATGAAGTCTTTCTGGCTAATTCATGCGCATTTAGCATTTCATCACATCACCGCGACATCACATCGCGCTCGACACTTTTCTGATATAAATAAATAAATTATTATCTTACTTGACAAGCGTCGCGACCCCCCTCATAAGCGCCGGCGCACAGAGTAGTGTTCGGAATCAGTTGCGTGAAGCTACGAACGCATTTTTCTTGGGGCCATACTGGTACCGTAGTTTCCAATAGCACTGTGCTAGCAGGTCCTCCGTAGTATTGTGTACCCCAACCTAATAAAATGTTTACAATTTTCAGATTGTAGATACAATTTGTACCTTTTAATTTCTTTCGCCCATTTCGCCGTTGCAGAAATGTGTCAGAGAAATTACTCAGTAGACATCAACTAAAAATAACGCAATATCAATGCTATATTTCGTACTCAACAATATAATATATAATATATAAATATAACATATCATGAGTTACAATAGTTGATGAGTAATTGTTTCATTATTTAAAATAATATTTTTATTAAAATAATTTATTAAAATAATATTTTTATATAAAGTAATAACAGATAACATCTAATGATATAAATTTTGCTTATTATATTGAAAAACATTGAAAAATTAAATATATTGAAATTTTGTATAAAATACGTAATATGTTTTCTCATCAATTTTTGGCTGTTAAAAAAACATCTACAGATGACATGTACAAATGATAGACTTAAAGAAAAATTAACAAATCATTTTGTTATTAATTTTCGACTTAAAAATAACATATCTATTGCATCTATTTGTACTGACCCGTAACGATGGCGTCTTTATTCTCGAACGATTGCTGAACAGGCGGGAGGCAGATGGGCCAGATATAGCTGTTAAACACGGTGGGTCGATGGATCTTAATGATAGCAATGTCGTTCTCGTATGTGTTTAATTTGAAGTCTCTGTGTATTCGTATCTCCGACACCATAAAATCCAACGCTCGCGTCTCATCGGCCTTAGTAAAATCATATTCTCCGAGTCTCACCGTAATGTAGTGCGGATCGTACCTATAAAGATGCAACGAAGGATAACTGTAACTTATTCTCATGAATCCTAACTGTTTATTTCGCGTTTACAGTAAAGTGAGTATATATATATATATATTACTCGCACATTAATGTCTATGAGAAAAATAACAAGAAAATGTGTCAGCGCGCCGAAATAGTACAAAGTCTAAGCACGATCACCGTCAACCATGACCGCAAGAATATAAATGCGTTACATCTGAAATATCGACCAGATCGTAATCTTTGCTCGTAAACTTTGAGATATGAGGACATACGCACCTATCTTGAAGTGAATATTATGTGCAAATTTCTTTCTTTATTGCAATCACTTGACGCAATTCTTTTTTTTAATGCAGTCGCAACCAATTCTCTGCACTATTTAAACTTATAGAGTACGACACGAATTTAATTTTGCTGATTTACAAACATATATGAAAAAAATGATGGAGATAATGAAGAATTTTTTTTCAATATATTGTAATAAAAAAATAATTTAGAATTTTAATTAATTAGCATTTAATATTGAGATAATTCTCTGTCAGATGTTGGACTTTAAAAGCATAGTCGACTTTTTTAATTATGATTTTTGATAAATAAATTTAAATCTATAAAATAAATAAAATACAATCTTACTTTTATGATAAACTTAAAAATTTGTTAAAGCTTTTATAAATACCTAACAATTTTTTTTCAAATTTTTATAATCCGGAATAATATGAAAATAGAAGTTTGAAGACCTAGAAAGAATAAAATTTTCACATTGCCGACGAAAAGTTAAGAATCCATTTTCTATTTCCATTAATTTTATTTCTAAAGACCATTAAAAATCTTAATGAATATTTATATAATAGTTTACCTATAAACGCAGTGTGCGGCTGTAAGTACGTGTCTATCAGTAATTAATACACCCCCGCAATACTGAGTTGCTTCTTGTCTGGTAAGAAGAAGAGCCGCCATCCATGGCCACTCTTTAGTGTCAGCCGATTGGTCTCCCGTGATTCTTTTCATTTTCGTGGTTATGCCGCACCCTCTAGGTCTTCGTGGCTTCCTTGTCTCTTGCTTAACCAATATCTCACCTTTTCGCAAATTCGCATCGTTGTGCATTGTTTTATTGGCAGATAACCCGTTCTCGTCCTCATTTCCTTGAGTTTCATCCCACTCTTCCTCGTCGTCGTCGAGACCTGCGAGAGAATTTGAAATACGTATACACGTAGTACTCTCGCTCGTTAAACGGACACTGATACCACGAGTATCGCGATAGACATTGATAGATATCGTTTTCATGAAAGTGCACGTGTAAAGCACTTTCGTCGAGATGCGTTAAGTTAATGAAAATGTTTATGTGCATATTTATCGCAAGTCTTATAAATAAATAAAAATGTATCGTACAATTATAACGGTTAAAGATTTATTTTTCAATCATTATTATAACAAAAATAATTTTATGATATCTATACAGTTTAATTAATAATATAATTAAAAAAAATTATATTATTTTCAAATAAATAATTAAAATTTATACGAACTCGCAATCGCTGGTAACTTGTTGGCTAAATCATCGTCAAACGTATTTTCCGATCGAGCTGTGATGACATCATCAGGACAACACATACCTATGTATCTGCAACGAGGAAAACATTAATAATAAAACTATTGATGCATAAAATGTTAACTTACGTTTGCTCAATTATGCACATATAATCCATAAATCGCTCCGCGTTTGAACTTTTGAGAAAATCCTTTGATAGAATGCATCCACTGAAATGTTTGCAATGGCCTTTTCGATTACCTGGCGCAACACAAGCTTGATATGTTGATTTCTAGAAGAGAAAATTAATTTTTATTGCACGTTTTTATTTTAAATAATGTTTGAATTTGTAGATAATGCTTAGAATAACGTACCTGTGTATTTAATTTTGTAGTACCTGGCACGAAAAACCGTTTATTGCGAAGGAGAGGATGGGAAATGTTTCCCGAAAATTGAAATAATTCCGTATGTTGAAGACGTGCTACCCATTTCTGATTCTCGATCGCCACCGGATCTAAGAAATATGGGGATGTGTATCACATATATATGGCGAACATGATGTGCGTATTCCATACGTGTTCGTGAACGCATACATATGATACGTATCGAAATTTAATGAGGACCATAGAAGGTTAGAGCGTCTGAGTGATACATTATCGGCATTATACATGATTTCGCTATTTCCGTTAAAAGAATACGCCTTGTTGGACTTTTAAAATCCAAAAATAGATTCTATTCTTTTAATGCGATTAATTTATGTAATTTATTACGCTTGATGCCTTTACATAATGTATACTTTAAAATATTACGGTCACAAGAAGCCCACAATTCGATGTCTCGCCGAAATCTATGAATATGTATCAAAAATAGCTGCATTGTGTTGTAATTTATAAAACAGATATACAGTGTGTTTGGTTTAACTGTATACACGAATTATTTTTTTAAATAATATATTTTTTAATAATTATAAAAAAATTTTAAATAAAAGTTATTTTATATGAAAAAATTTACACAATGATTTAAATGAAAGTTTTATGTAAATTATTTTTTTAATAAACACATTTATATCGAACATATAATTTTACATATAATTTTAAATATAAAATTTTTTTCTTGTATTTTATTTTATGAAAAATGTAACAATTTATTCTAAATCAAATATAAAAGCAATATTTGCATTACTTATTTTGTTATTTTACATTACTTTTTTTTAATTATTTGTTACAAAAAAGATATAATTAAGCCAATTTAAAATTCAAATTTGAATTTAATGTAAATATTTTTAAGATAATAATGCAATAGATAAAATAATGCTTACCCGTGGCGTTTTGAAAATCGGTGGGAAGACTTCGGCAGCATCGAAAGATGTACAATAATAATAAAAAACACACAAATTGATGGATATTAATGTGCATCATTTAAATTAGCGTCAATATCAACTCTCGTTCAGGGCAACGCAACGACAACTCTTTAATAAAGACAATCACGACAACTAGAGAACTCACAATGACTCTGAAATATGGAAAACCGTCACTTATATACCTCACGCCTGTACTGTACGGGACCACGCAAACGTTTCTTTCAAACTGAATATCTTCCATTAGGCGCTCGCATGACTCGTACGTTTCTCACACAAAAATAATTTAATGAAAAATATTAATTATGTTTTACTGCTGTCAATTCAATGTGTAGCAAATTAATTATTTATTGTATAGCATTGCATTAATATATACAGAAAAATAATTTCTTTGTTTAAGGAAAAGAATGAGACACATATATGTGCAAAATATATATATATATATATATACAAGAGAAATATTTTGAAAAATTTACAAATTTCAATAAAATATCTACTGTAATTTGAGCAATAAACATCTCGTTGAAATTATTTGCTATTGAGCGATATTTTGAATCCAGTTTAACATTTACCGTATCAAATTACTAAAGTACTAAAGTACTTTGTGCGTGTAGTATTGTGCCGATTTAATATGGTAACTCGACGTCGCTTCAGTCCGCGGTCATTCAATGAACCTATTAACGCTACATAATTGACGCAAAGGCTAAGGCCGCGGATCAGAGGAGCCATTTTGTGGAAGTAGAGAAGCGAGGCGGGAGAATTACGCACGACCTGTCCGGACAAAGGTTAATTCATGCGAATACTCGGTGCATACGCTTGTCGAAGCGAGAAGTAACTAGACAGCCGGTAACTTGAGAAATATTCGATTCCGTTCGACGTTTCATTAAACCGCTCGACTCCGCAACGCGACGAGATCTCGCCGGGAGCTGGAAAAGGATAGCGGGACCACTAGTTCTGAGAGAAGAGCAGAGAGAGGTGGGAACGTGACGAGGTTGGGGCGAGAGAAGTCGCGGAAGAGAATGAGAGACACGAGGCTCTCTCTTTACCGATTACCCAGCAGACAAATCCAACGGTCTTCCGTCTCCGTCTCTAAATGTGATACTCAAGAAAATGGACATCACCCACATACCTGTTCAGGCCATTGGCTTTGCCGTGCCACGCAACATGCGTATGCACGCATGCATGTACGCACACATTCATCGACATACGAGACACGCACATGTAAGAGAAGCGAACGACGATTTGTATATCTTGGAGTAATAGGCGAACAATTAGACGCATATAGACGTAACTTAACATTTAGATAAAATCGTTTTTATAACGCGAATTTAGCGACAAACATACGAAAAACAGTTTTGCTAAAGCATTTAAAAATTCAGCTGTAAAAGATCTAAAAATAATTCTATCAAAATAATTACGTAGGATGATCAAACTAGTTGCTAGGATGTCAAAACTTTTTGTAATTATTGATCATTATACTTGAGATTTCTATGCAATTATTTTTGATGGCCCAACAAAATTCTTTCCAAATCATTATCTAACTAAATTTTTAAATACTTTAGCAAAGTCTTTTTTAAATATTTTTAGCAAAATCTTTTTGGTGACAATTTTGATTCTTATTTTATATTACTTTGCATATGATCTTTATGTCACTTAGATATGAATAAAATATATTCTCTGTTTAATGTATTTTTAATGTTGATATGGACCACTTTCGGATTTCTTAACCGATATCCATAACAGTTCGCCGAAAGAAACACGACTCACAATCAGGTGCGATTGAAAGAAGCGCATTCCAACATTTTACGCATGTCAGCTACTTATTTGCACGCATCATTGATTGCTCCAAATAAAATGTAACTCGAAGTCAACCGTACCGATAATGGATCATGCTCGTTCTTATACGTTCTTTCCCTTTTTTCTTTTTTTTTGATAAAGTCCTGAATCTCTTATATTCAATATAAAACGAATATAAAATGAATATAAAAAGAAATTTAGGGGCAAAACTAGAACCAGAAATACATATATTGAAAAATGTAATTACTTTAGTCTGCATAAAATTTAATTATTCTTCTTTCTCTAACGAAAAGGTAGAACTAGATTTATCTATATTTTAGCGACAAATTAAAGGCAAAACTCGGACAAAGCATTTCCGCGAATGAGAGAAAAACGTAATTAAATTCGTAATTCTCTCAGAGAAATTCGAGTAATATACGTATTTCGCACTCGAATGGTAAAGCGTTTAGTGATACGGTTTTCAACGTTAAAAAGATGTGGTCTCTGTGTTCATTGCATGTTTAACAAAAGATATATATATATATATATATACTCAAGTCCTCAAATTTCCGGATGCTTAACACACTATACGTTTAACAGTAAATTCGTCATTCGCGTCCCAGAATCCATCTTTGGTGCTGCATTGACATTGCTTGAATGAGACCTTTTGTGACAAAAATACCATGTTTCACGAGGTATTTTGTACGTAAGGTTTGCGTGCAAGCAAAATTGACCCGCTTACAAAACAACTATATATACGTAAAAGGGAGAACAGTAAATTTTTCAGAATATTCCTTGTAGAACATACATAAAATTGGATATTTTTAAAGGAATGTGCGTCAACCAATGATTTTAAAAAGAGAAAAGAATTCATACAATTGTTGAAATTACATGGATGAGAAAATTACTTGATTCAAGCGCGTTTAACTTATGATCTTTCATATAAGACCGAAAACACGAAATTTCTATCTGGTTTATTCGCGAGTAAAAATTATGGATACGCATTACATTTTTTTTGTAACAAAAAAGGAAATTATAAAAAATTACAAATTTTTGAATATTGTATTTGTAATACAAAAAGTTTAACAGTGATTTAGAACTAGGATAAAAATTATTTCAATAAAATGTAGTAATGTAAATGTTTTTAAGAAGTAATTAAAAAGATAAATTTTTCATTTAAATCATAAAATTGTATTGTTAACTTAAATATTAAGTTTATTGAACTGTTTTATATGTGTATGTATAATATTCATTTGTTTTTTGCATGTTGCTATTATTGTTATTGTATTGCTATTGTTATTATTTTATTATGTATTTTTCTTTTTTTATAATATATTTACATATTCTCATTTCAATCTGCTTGTTTATCTTGTAACATAATTTCATCATTTAGCAAATCTGCTGTAATTAATACGTAGTATTAAGTTCAGGTTTGTGTTTCAAGATAGCATTATTGCTGATACGCCAACAATAGACGTATTGTTTGTGTAACTTCTATTTTTTTTTTGCGTCTTTGTGTCTTATTTTTTTTTGCTATAGTTTACAAATGCACGCTTATTAAAGTTATTATTATTATTTTTTTATACGGAAAGAATAAATTTTATTTACTTTTTGTAGAAACCTGATACATTTTTAATTTGACGTATCGAGAAATCTTTGGGTTTTAAAAGAAGATGGCTATATTATACTTACATGTATATAAAATAAAACTTATAATTATATTAAAATTTTTTAAATCTTTTTAGTCTTGCGCTTGTATTATCATAATGCACGTATTGTTCGATATTCCTCATAAAGAAAAAAAATTGATAGCAAGAAAAAGTCGAGATAATATCTTGCTTTACGAGCAAGAAATGATTATGTTAACTATGTTAATAAATTTAAATTCAGACAGGTGCCAATAGATATATTTAAGATAATATATGAAAAACTTAACATGATGACAATCCAATTCCTTGGCATCATATATCAACTTACGACCTTTCTTTAAAGATATTCGATCGTGAGATACGTTTACGCTGTTTGATAGGCACCGTAAGAAGAAATGAGAAACGCAAAGTACACGCGTGTCTCTAGAATGGCAAAAAATGATGAAAGAGGAGGCTAAAGAAAGACGGGACGAAATCCGGAGAGATCGCGATTTGAGGGCAAAAGCTTCAGGCATTACCATTTAAAGTATCCCGTATATATCCCTTTTTTGCTCCTCGCATCACTTTGGCACTCATAATCGCGAGATATTTTGCACGCTGCTATCTTCCCATTAACGTTTTATCTATATGATATTTTCGGCAAGGAAGATATAAAATGTCAGTTTAAACTAAACGAACAGAGCTAAGTAGTTAAGGTTTTGCATACTTTCGTTTTATTACGCGGATAATTTAATTAATATAACATACTTTAATTAATTAATGAATTAATAATAATGTACATTATTATAATATAATATTATAGTGTTATTATCTTACAAATGCTATATGAAAATCTATGTTTATTTGTCAGGCTATCGTGAAATAATTGTAATTCTTTATATGAAAAGTGTAGAATGTTACACACATTATGATAACTATATTATGGTAGTTGTTATTCTTACACATGCACGCATAATTATATTTGATACTTTAGAGATTAAATTACTGAGAATCACCAAACACAGTCCATGAATAAAGGAATACACATTTTTAATTTACGAGGAATCAAGAATGACCTATCTTCGTTAATGCGAAAGATACAGAATGAAGGAGTTCCTAAGAACTATCGCATTCGGAGATTAAAGGGCAGAACGGAAGATAGAATAATAAACGAGAAAGAGGGAGCACGTGCTAACGAGATTTGAGTTTCTACCTGGTCACGTCCTTCCGATACTAATGTGGTAACTAAACCTGAACTAAAACCGATGAACAAGGCAAGACATCATTCTAAGTTATTTAAAAGAAACGCTATCACGAATTTTGAGATGATAATTGTTTGACATTGCCTATAATTGTTGCTCAACTTTAATTAAAAACTGTTAATTAAAAAATTAAATACGTGCACAAAGTGCAAAGAAATATTTAATCTAAAGGGGTAAATAGTTTACCGTGGTATTTTAATTCAATATAAGGCAGAAGAGAGTACAAAGTAAAATATTCGTTAAAAGAAAATTAAATTTATAATACTTTTTTTATTTACTTTAAGAAGATTGTCTGTTATTGTAGATAATAAGAAATGCAATTAGGATTATTAAAAGGCAAATATATTTCGTAAATCTAATAAAAATTAATTATGTAAGAAAATAATTACTCCGTTAAACTTACTTTTTTTTATTATTTTATAGATGATCATCGCCGATACTAACATGTTCTAAAGAGACACTTGTTATTTCTCGAAAACTAAACATTGCACTTTATGAATATTCATAAAAAACATAATTTTTCAGATAATTAAAAAAAATTCATAATTTAGATATTTGTGGCTTATTTCTATATTATACAATATATAATATCAGCTAAAAA